AAGAAAGCACGCATTCTGGCACGCGTAGCAAAGATGTCGTAAGTTCTTAGTCATATTTAATTATTCGTTTGTTTCCATTCCATTCTTCCTCATCAAATATTAATCATTCTCTCTCTGAGAGCATGTAGGCTAAGCCCTCAGGGCTGAGTCAGAGATGTCCCTGTTTTCCCAGCGGAAACTCACTGTCTGTGAAGGCAATTAGGCCATCAGCTAACTACATGAGATGTCATGGTGTGCACATATATCCACATGACTAAGTGTTTGGATGTGCCCATGCGCTTAGCTGGGGAAGGCCTCATTGGTAGAGACCAGGCATTGTGGATGTAACATCTGGAGATCAAGAAGTGTTTACCAGGCCAAAAAGTCAAGGGAGTGTGCACATCGCAGAAGTAATCATGTATGCCATAGAATGAGGGGAATGCGAAGTTGTTATTATTTTTCTCTGGTTGCCTATAACAAAAGACCCACAGATGGGTTGCTTAGAAAACAGAAGCGTGGCCAGGCGCGGGTGGCTCACGCCTGTAATCCCAGCATTTGGGAGGCCTGAGGTGGGCGGATCACCAGGTCAGGAGATCAAGACCACCTGGCTAATATGGTGAAACCCCGTCTCTACTAAACATGCAAAAATTAGCCAGGCGTGTGGTGGGTGCCTGTAGTCCCAGCTACTCAGGAGGCTGAGGCAGGAGAATGGCGTAACCCAGGAGGCAGAGCTTGCACTGAGCCGAGATCGCACCACTGAACTCCAGCCTGGGCGACAGAGCAACACCCCGTCTCAAAAAAAAAAAAAAAAAGAAAACAGAAACGTAGGCCGGGAGTGGTGGCTCACGCCTGTAATTCCCAGCACTTTGGGAGAACCAAGGTGGGCGGATCACTTGAGGTCAGGAGTTCGAGACCAGCCTGGCCAACATAGTGAAACCCCCTCTCTGTACTAAAAATACCAAAGAAGTTAGCCAGTGGCGGTGTGCCCCTGTATTCCCAGCTACTCGGGAGGGCCAGGCAAAAGAATCGCTTGAATCCAAGAAGTGGAGGTTGCAGTGAGCTGAGGTTGTGCTACTGCACTCCAGGGCCCTGGCCTGGGCGAAACAGCAAGACTCTGTCCCCCCCCCAAAAAAAAAATTAAAAAAGAAAAAAAAGAGCCTGGGTTCGGTCGCTCACGCCTGTAATCCTAGCACTTTGGGAGGCCGAGGAGGGCAGATTGCCTGAGCTCAGGAATTCGAGACCAGCCTGGGCAACACGGTGAAACTCCATCTCTACTAAAATACAAAAAAAGAAGGTCAGGCATGGTGGCTCACGTCTGTAATCCCAGCACTTTGGGAGGCTGAGGTGGGCGGATCACAAGGTCGGGAGATCGAGACCATCCTGGCTAACATAGTGAAACCCCATCTCTACTAAAAATGGCGGGCGCCTGTAGTCCCAGCTACTCGGGAGGCTGTGGCAGGAGAATAGCGCGAACCCCGGAGGCAGAGGTCACAGTGAGCCAAGATCGTGCCACCGCACTCCAGCCTGGCGCCAGAGTGCGACTCCGTCTCTACAAAAAAAAAAATATAAATAAATAAAATGAAAAAAAAAAAAAGAAAACAGAAATGTATTTCCTCACAGTTCTGGAAGCTGGAAGTCAGAGAACAAGGTGTTGGCAGGATTGGTTTTCTGAGGCTCTGTCCTGGGCTTCTAGATGGCCACCTTCTCGCTGTGTCCTCACGTGCTCTTGCCTCACATCCCTGGTGTCTTAATCTCTTCTTGTAAGGACAGCAGTCGGATTGAATTAGGCCCACCTATGTGATCTCATTTTACCTCAGCGGACTCTTTAAAGGGACTTTCTCCAAATACATTCTGAGGTACTGGAGGTGGAGGATTTCGGCATACGTTTTTGTGGGATACAGTTCAGCCCATAACAGAAGCATCTGTGAAGGAGGGCCAGGGTCAGGTCGTGTGGATGCATGTTCTGGGATGAAGCCAGAACGCCGGCATTCTGCATCTTGAAAGGCCTGGCCTGTCATCAGGCTGAGGAGGATATTGGAGAATGGACACCACCACCATATGTAGGCTCTGCTGGCCCCACAGGCTGCCGTGTGAGGGGCAGACTACAAGGAGCCACCCTGTACTCTGTCTGATGAGATACGGATTTGAATTCGAGTTCTCTTCCACCACACCCCAGGGTCTCCATAGCAGTTTAGGGGAGGCAAGGATTCCCGAGTAGCAAGAGTGTCCATAAGAACACGGACGTGTGTGGTTGTAGGGGGCAGGTGGGTGGGGCAATGGAGGCAGCAACAGCTCATCGTTTGCCTGCCGGAGCAGCCCCTGTTGCCATGTGAAGTCAGTGGACGGCTTTCCAGGCGGAAGGACTGCAGCTCAAGCAAGTGAAGAAGCAACCGATGACGGGATGAAGCCAGCTCTGGTGTTTTCTTTTTGCCCAGAAGCCCCCTCAAATGTTCCTAACATAATCACATCTCTTACTACTGTATTGTGTAAATGAGAGAACAGCCTCCCTTTCGTTCTCCTGCCAGGTAGAAGCACACAGCAGCTCCTGGCTGTTGACAGTCAGAGAATGAGATAATTACCCTTCTCCATTTTTAGATTCCTGCTCAAACTCAAGCATTTTGGTGCAAAAAGAGACCACGCGTTGGGAGGAACAGCCTTGTTTGGTGTGGCTTCCATTCGGTTCGGAGGCCTGAGACAGAGGCGCCCTGCTCTGCTTTTACTCGTTTCTGATAAGGCTCCTTGAGCAGGTCACTTCCTCTACCACTTGGGTTTCTCTTTTGCACAATGGGGATAATCTTGTATAAATGACCAGGATAGTGGTGAGGATTCACCAAGAGCCCTTTGCAGTCATTGAAGCGCTATGCAAATGTTAGTCCTGGGGATTAAAAAAAAAAAAAAAAAGGATTCACCTTACTAGAAAGAGACAAGGTGTTTGCATTTTGTAATTTTAGTGACTTGCCGCCTCACTAGAAAAAAATGAGCATTTTTGATTCTCAGCACGGCTCTGTCGTTGCATGTGAGGCATTCGGAAAACCCTGCTTGTCGGGTACAGCTCTGTAAAGTGGGAAGTGGTCTCTCTCGCCTTCAACTCTTCTTCTCAGAGAAGCTGTAAGGATTAATTGGATGGTGTCCGTGCTGTCTGCCAGGAAGATAGAAAGTGTGAAGTATCATCTGGATGGGTTTGGTAAGCACTAGATTCCCTTTCCTCTGCTTATGACAAACAGAGTGACAGCCCAGCGCTGTGTTTACACAAGTTAACATGTATGTTCCTTGACATAAGGAAGTGCTCTAATCATGAAATACAGCTTGCATGTCATTTGGTTTTGAGATGTTATTGAGTACTACTAATCTTGACATATTTTGGTTGGCACCACATTCTTGGTATAGTGGGTTAGCGGTTGAATAGTTTGCAGACTTTGTGAAATAAAATCCTCATTTAATGGTTTAGTTTGGCTGCATTTCAAAAATATACAAAAACATAACGTGCTTTTATTTTATAGGGAATTTTTTTTCAACTTGTGGCTTTGGTTTTTTTTTTTTTTTTTCTTTTCCTCACTGCCCTTTCTTTTCTCTCTTCCCTGTCTCTTTGTCTCTGTCTCTCTTTTCAATGTTCCAGTTGCAGCAGCCTAGGAGGAAGGCAGCAGAGAAGGATGAGCCTGTGACCCGACTGAGCTGCAGGCAGAAGAATCTTCTTTGTACTGCTCGAGGTCAAGAATGTGTTTACACCCTGGCCTAATGGTCTGAACTTTTGCATCTGAGTGCAGGACTTCAGGACCACTGAAGGCCACCACGCGGTGGAATGAAGCTCCCTAGCAGAAGCACCTGGATTAAACGTGCAACCAGACCAGTCCACACCAGCCCCCCAAGTCACTGAACTCAATGACATCATGCCCAGGCAGGGAAAGTCAACAGGCCTCTGGCCCGGGTCCCCTCCACTCCTCTCATTTCTTCTGCCTCTCGCTGTTCTTAACCCAGGGACAATATTTAGAAAGCAGAGCGGGTTCAGGCAGCCCTCTCAATTACTTTGGCTGGAACCTTCCTGAGTACATTTTGCTATCTCTTTGTGATGTAAACAGGGGCATTCACAGTTGGCAGGGGATGCTCTTTCTGTTTTAATTACACACGGCATAATTATAGTCCCAGGGTCTGGAAACAGCACAAAGTTCTTTGGAGAACTTCATAGGGATTTTTCTGTTATGACATAGTTTATCAGGAGAAAAAAAAGTAAGGCAAAAGACATTTCCAAAGAGGAACTAATAACACTATTTATGCTAGCGTTCCATTCCATAATAAGTAGATCACAAAATCGGAGTAGACATTTTTTTCTGGAGGCGGGGGTGGAGTTTCAAAATTTTGGACTCACGGACAGTGGTGGCAAAATCTAGATAAATACTAATGCATGGATGTGGGTGGAGAAGGATATACATGTAAATTTTTTTTACTTAGGAAAGCAATAAGAAGGCATCCAGCTGTATCTGAGGGAATTTGCACGTACCCGGGACCCTGAGGATATGGAAAAAGATCCTACCATAGTCATAGTCATCTGGCCTAAACCTGAGTCATAAAATTCTCTCTGCCCCCAGATGTGCAGTATGAGGGCACTTTGTTACTCTGCTGATGTAGTGAGAAATCGCAGAACTGCCACGGTAATGGAGAGTACAGTGACAGAGATGGGGAGACAGGGCTGTTTCTCTGTTATGAAACATGCTTTTATAGGTAATTCTGATGTACAGTAGGTATTAAATAGAGCAACGAAAAGATTTTTTATTTTAGATTAGTGCTAGAGTGATATTTCCCCCATGGCACTAATAATCCAGCTGCTTTCTAAAGCCTATTTGCTCTCCCAGTTTCTCATAGACTCCCAGCACTGTTTTGGCAGAAGGGTAAGCCATTGCTTTGAAATTTCTGCCTTTTAAAAGGAGAAGATCAACTTTATATATTATGCATTTTATATTTAGACAAGAGGGACATGGTGCATTTTTTTTTTTTCTGTTGGGGAAGAAGATATTAAATAAGTTCTGTTTTTGCAATGTAGAGATAGGAATATATATAGGGGGTAAAAATATTTCAAGAATGGCTTTTTGTAATTGAGTGGTTTTTTTTTTTTTTTAAAGACAGAGTCTTGCTCGATTATCCCAGCTGGAGTGTAGTGGCACGATCTCGGCTCACAGCAACCTCCACCTCCCAGGTTTAAGCGATCCTCCTGCCTCAGCTCCCCAGTAGCTGGGATTACAGGCATGTGCCACCATGCCCAGCTAATGTTTGTATTTTTAGTAGAGACAGGGTTTTGCCATGTTGGCCAGGCTGGTCTCGAACTCCTGACCTCAGGTGATCCACCTGCCTCGGCCTCCCAAAGTGTTAAGATTACAGGCGTAAGCCACTGCGCCCAGCCTTGAGTGATCATTTAAGACACCCCTGTATGCATGCATGCTGGTTTGAAATCCAGGGGACACACCATGTCAGCCTAGCCTTTCTGCTGTCTGTATCACGCAGGACTCACAAACCTAGTTTAATTGTATGCTTCTTACATATTTCAAGGCGGACACAGGAACAACAATAAGAGGCCTGTTGTTGAAACCACATCGTTTTCATCACAGTGAAAAAAAAATAAGGTCATTGCAGGTTTGGAGCATGGTTAGGTTTGAGCCTGCCCACATTATTTTATTCATGTTAAAATATAAAGAGATGAGAAACGTATTGAACGAGAGAACAGAAGCTAATTTATTTCTGGACCTTCCCACTCTACGATATCCTCCCACCCACTTTTAGATGGAGGGTGAGTCCTCTCCACCAACCCCTCTCCCCCTCCACCTTTGGGTTTTTTTTTTTTTTTTTTTTTTCAATTTGTTAAGATGCTGAAATCTGCTTTGTGTGATTTATGAAGGAACTTGAAGCGATTAGTTTCACAGTGCATGAAAATTCCTCAGGTTCGGGGGGGATGGCCAATCTGTTACACTGTTTGCCGTGGACTGGATGGGAACTTGAGCAGCTCGGAGCCATAAGGAGATTGTGTTGAGTTATTAAACACTTGTGGTAAAGCTGCTTATTGTTAATTCCCCGATGTCCTGCTGAAGCGATAGGATAAAATCAGATCGGATTAGATCAAAGAGCCTGGGAGCCAGCCTTTGGAGCAGATTCATTTAATCAATAAAGAGACCTCCTGAGAGACAGGGAGAGAATGGGCAGCGCTGGTGGCTCCAGGATTAAGACCGGGTTTGGGGAGTTGTGGGAAAGAAACAACATTTTATACATAGATATTTCCTCCTTTTTTTAGAGGTGTAATTCTCTTCTCAAATATTTTAGCCACACTCACCAAAGGGTATAAACATTTCTTTAAGATTTCATGACTCCAATCCTCCATTGCTACAAAAATGCCCTATAAGTCAGGAAGTTAGAAAAAAAAAAAAAAGAACTTCTGTTCCATAAAAGGTATTTCAACAAAAGCAATTTAGGCTTAAGTGATTTCCCAAGAAACATTAATCCCTTATGAGTCAATCTGCAAAATTTCCTATTGTCCTTTTGTGAGGAGAAATAATAAAGAACCACCAAAAGGCCAAAGTCTAGCTCCACCCAGCTCTTTGTATTCTCCTCACTGCCCACCTCCCAGCCCCCGCCAGTAATTATAAAGCATTGTGTATTAAGAGGTATGATGTGGCTTCCTTCATCCATGATTAACACTTACACCAATGCATATTCATTCATCTCTTAGCCCTACCAAACCCTGCTAAAATGAGGACTTGCCAATAAGGAAGTGACACCCATTAGAAAGTTAACCACGGAAAATGAGAGAAAAAATGAAGGATAGAGCAAATTAAGGATGCGAGTCCCTCAATGGTTATTGGCCTTAATGGTGTTATAAAAATGATGTCGGCTTTTACCAGGAATAATTTATATTCTGAATTAAATAAGGATATGTATCTATAAGTCCATTCTATAAAACTTAATTTTCCATCTAGATATGCTGATTACTTCGGGCTCGGCATACCTTTACCGGTTGTTAATTACTGCGGGATGGTTTAACACTATTTTCCAAATCAGCATGCATGCATAAAATGACTGCAATCCAATTTGACACATTATTAGTGATGATTATTGTCATAGATAAATTAGATTGAACAGAAAATAACCTTCATCCTTAGCATGTTTTAGCTCTCAGAATTAATGTGATTTGGTGAACACATATAAATAAAAATCTGATGAGTCCCTGCTGACTGCAGGGCCTGTTGGTGCTGAAGTGTATCAATTTCATGCAGATGATGAATTCCTTAAGCATTCAATGATAATCATGCTTGATTTGACAAGACTTTCTCATGCTATTTTAGGGCCTTAATTTTCTGTGAAGTTCTGTCAAGTGCTCATCAAGCACCCACTTATCTCCGTATCTTAACCTGGCAGCCAATCACAAGGTTGCCTAACAGTACAGCTACGGAGTGCCAGCCCATTAATATTCAGATCACGTGACTGTCCAAGGAGAGAAACCAATCAATGACTGATTAACATTCAGGTCACATGACTCCCGAGGAGAGTAAATGAGTTACACAGTAAGACATCAAACAAATTTTCATCTTGAAAGAGTGATTGCTTTTTCTGCTGCTGTGATGTTTGTCAAATTCGCTCTAGCCTTGTCCAATTAAGCTCCATGAGCTGAATTAATAATGAAGAGATGTAAGAACTGAGCCAGCGTGAGCGCTGCGATCTGTGCCACGAAATAAGAACTGCTAAAAAAAAAAAAAAAAAAATCCTCCAATGATTGAAAAATCACATCTGGATAACTGGAATAATTGCTTTTGCAATCTTGATGCTGTTTTGTAATCTCCAGTGCAAAGTGTGAACTGGAGTATGCTGGGACATGGCACTGAGCTGGCGTTGTACTTCAAAGATGAATGTGGTATTGAGTTTAGAATGATTTTAAAGGTATTACACAAATACATGTTAATTGGATTATTGTTTGTGACCATGGTAATGAATTTCATTTGCACACTCAATTATGCTCTGGGGCTTTCTGGAGGTATGACCTTTCAAGATTTTTTAAACTGGCCGGGCGCGGTGGCTCACGCCTGTAATCCCAGCACTTTGGGAGGCCGAGGTGGGCGGATCACGAGGTCAGGAGATCGAGACCATCCTGGCTAACACGGTGAAACCCCGTCTCTACTAAAAATACAAAAAATTAGCCGAGCGTGGTGGTAGGCGCCTATAGTCCCAGCTATTCAGGAGGCTGAGGCAGGAGAATGGCGTGAACCAGGGAGGTGGAGCTTGCAGTGAGCCGAGATCACACCACTGCATTCCAGCCTGGGCGACAGACTCCATCTCAAAAAAAAAAGGTTTTTTAAACTGTCAGAAGAGGGGAAGGAAATTATTCTCTATTCTTGTATCCTGGGTGAAGAAAAGACTGAACTAAGTCCTCAGAGAGAATTTGAGTGTTGGTGTGGGTGTGTGGGTGTATGCTTCTCATTTTAACATTCAGAGGTTGATAAGTTAAATTCACTGAATTATTTCAAAATGCACATGTGAACCCAATGAAAATTTTCAGAAAAAGGCAGATGCTCTCTTGCTGTTGATAGCCAGTGACAGCTTTCTCGTAGTTTCAGGGAAAGTTCTATTCAATCACAAAGTCAATTGCATTTCAGCACAGATGCGCTACTAAATTCAGGTGACATGTTTAGAACAGAGACCCTATGACTAATAAAGCTTTCATTCCTTCCCTGAAGGGAGTGAGACTTGACTAATGGTTTATTGGAATTATCAAAGAGTGTCAAATCCCACTTAATAAGTTCCAGCATGAAATTAGCTAAATTCCCAAAGGCCTTTCTAAAACAATATAGTCAAATAAAAGGTGTTGGGCGTGCTGGAAAGAGTGTTAAAACCAGTTACTTGGAAGTGATGAGAAATAAATCTAACTGTAGGCAGGAGGCAATGTTTATGTATACAGTTAATAACCTTCTTAATGGGACTTCTTGGCTTGGTGATTCCCGGATGGGGAGGAAAGTGAGATGTGGAGCACAGGGTAGGCAAAGGGCCATAAGTCAATTCCCAGCACTGTTAGTCAAGGATGGAAATTGCAAAGAGAGAAGCAATGAATTTAAAAGCCCCAGCAAGCCGAGAGAGTGGAGGGAGAAGATGAACTGTGCATTTGGGGGAGGAGGGAATGAAGGTGGAAGGGGAATGGTTGCGAGTCCACAGTGGACCGTCATAAAGTAATTAAAGCCGATTTAGTCGAGAGAACAAGGAGCTCCATCATTTTTTCAGCGCTGTCTTCTTAGAATGAGTGAGGCCTAAAGGAGAGCATAGTATAGAAGTGGTTTTATTCAAAAAAGCTAAAGTTGAGACCCCAGCCACTAAGACTCAAATGGAATTTCAGATTCTTGTGAAAACGCAGTCCTGAGTTGGTATGAGAAGACCTGAGGTGCCCAAGGTAATGTAAGTTGAATGAACGTGCTTTTCCTCCATATTTTACCTCTGACTCCCTTTGCAGTGAAGTGGCAGCCTGGAGCTCTACTTACATGCAGCTCACACGCCATGGAGCCCCTTCCTACAAGCACCCCCACTTCCTGGCACTTGAGAGGCACGGAATGGAAGGTGGCTCCACGTTGTCCTCATCAGTCAGCTTTAGAAGGCCCTGAATAAAAGAGTATTCCACTTTCTGCATAACTTTACATAATTAATAGTTTTCCATGCAAACTATTGTTTGCCGTAATTGTTGTTTCAACAGCTGTTTTCATTAAATTGTAAAGCCCGCTGCGTCTAATCCTTTGAGCCTCACTATTGATAACAAGAACAGCTCTGAAGCTTGCTCTGGAGGAGGGTTCCCTGCCAAGCTGCAAAACCGTCATGAAGTTACTTGAAAAATAAGGCCTACAGTGGGACTGGTTGTGTAACTAATCCATTAGGCTTTTCAAAAGAGCCATGCTCTGTCCCCTTATGGCTAAATTGACCCAACAACCAATCAATGCCTTTATTTGCTGAGTGGCTGCTCCCGAAGGGTCTTACAGCTGGGTCCAAGTCGCAATCAAAGCCTCCATCAGTACTGGGGCCCTGATGACATAAATGGCCCAACTTTCAACGCAGCTGGCCCGAGTCCAGTCACACCATTTTGAAGATAC